AAAAAAAAAAAAAAAAAAAGAAAAAAAAGAAACACAGATAGTATGTATATAAAGGCTCTGGCACTGTGCCCAGCACAAAGCAGGCACTCAACAAATGGTGCTTTTATTACTGTAATAATTCTTTCTGTAAGAATTTAAAGTTCTAAGGTACTACTGATCCTTTAGTCATCAACGTATATGAATTTCAGATAATTTTTATTCAAAACAGGCTTTGAAGAACAGAGAACTAGAGGACATTTAAGTGTCTTGGATGAAAGGATAAATGGGGAACAGAAAGGGTCAACTGAATGTTCAGGGGAAATAATTATACCTTGGTTGTGCTATATGAGCTATATTTGGGCAAAAGTGTTCTGAGTAGTGCTTGTAGCTTTTTCCTGTTTATGTCATAGCTCAATTGATAGTCACAGGCAAGCGAGCACTTACCAGTCTGGATGGGATTGACCACTTGCTCAGGCTGGAAACAGAAATTTGTATCTTCTGGCCAGTTTTGGCTATTTTGATATTCCTGGTAGGCCATTTTCTCTTCAAGAAATTCTGTTGGAGACCCTTACAACAGAAACAGGAAACTAAAGTTACAAGATACCACTGTTTTCTCCTCCATTAGAGTGAAGTTTCTACAAAGTATTACAGCTAGTAAAATATAACACAATCATATCTAGCTCATGCCTTTCAAGAAAATCTTTTTTTAAAAGTGAGAGACAGAAGGAGCTGTGTGCGGTGGTACAGTCCTGTAGTCACAGTTACTCAGGAGGCTGAGGTGGGAGGATTGCTTGAACCCAAGAGTTTGAGGCTGTAATGTGCAATGATTACACCTGCCAATAGCCACTGTACTGTACTGCAGCCTAGGTGACACAGCAAGACACCATCTCTAAGTACACAGATACATACATAAATGATAAAAGGAAATAGAGTACTGGAAGTATAAGGTTGTTATTAAGGTCAAAAAACACTACAGATCGACTTTTGGTTATGTAGGCATGAAGAGGGTAGTGTTTCTTGCCACAAAAGAACAAATATAAAACAGGGTAAAACTGTCAAAAGCAACCATTTCAGGCACTGGAATTAAAAAAAAAAGCCAGACCTAAATAAATGAAAAGATGTACCATGTACCAGAATAGAAGATTCAATATTGTTAAGATGGCAATTCTCAAACTGACCAACAGATTCAGGAAATTACAGTTAAAATCCTAGCAGAATTTTTTTTTAAGATGTTAACAAGCTCATTTTATTTATATGGAAATGCAAAAAATCTACAATAGCCAAAACAATTTTGAAGAAAAATAAAGTTGGAGGACTTACATTACTTGATTTCAAAAGTTATTATAAATGTACCAACTCAGTGTGGTATTGACCACACACTTAGGTAAATGGAACAGAACAGAGTTCAGACAGGAACCTACAGTTATGGTCAATGGCTTTCAACAAAGGTGCCAGTGTAATTCAATGGGGAAAGGATAGTTTTTTTCAACAATGGTATAGAAATGACACTTACCTCACACCAGTAAAAGAAAATAAAATTTTAGGACCCTCTAAACTTACTATGCCAAGGGGAAGTTAAGCCCTGGAAACTGAAACACATAGCATGATTACAATTCTGCTTCTTAGATGTAGATTAACTCTCCCACATTGCTCTTGTTCTGCAAATGACTAGGAGACACCAGAGGTCAGATTTCCTCATTTCTAATCACTGATTTTTATTATAGATTAACTGCCTCCTTTATTGTCCTATATTTAACTCAAACCAGATGGTGTCCAAGACTCCCATGACTGTTATATCTTCAGTGTGGAATGTTTAATACACCTTTCCCAAAAGAAAAAGATAACCTTGACTAATTAGATCGTTGTAACTATGCACTGATTTTTACAAAGAAAAATGCTGAAATTCTATTAAGCTTCCCTAAATTTTGTCTATATTGAAAGACTTTGGAACACTGACTTCCATTCTTTGGAATCTGTGCTTTCTAGGCAGCCTGTCCTCAAACTTTGTGCTTGAATAAACTCTCTTTAAACTAGATTCTAACTCTTTTGATTATTTTAGGTTGATACACCATATGCAAAAGTTAACTCCAAACAGACCAAAGATCTTATATAAGAGTTAAAACTTTAAAAACTTGTAAAATAAATAGGAGAAAATCTCTGTGGCCTAGAATTAGGCAAAGATTTCTTAGACATATCACCAAAAGCATTATCCATAGAAGAAAAAATGGATAAATTGAACATCATCAAAATTTAAAACTTTTTGCTTTTCATTAAGAAAATGAAAAGAGAATCTACAGACTTGGAGAAAATATCTGCAGACTATAAGTCAGATAACACATTTGTATGCAGAAGAGATTAAAATCTCTTATAAAACAACTGTAAGATAAACAACTCAATTTAAAAATGGGCAAAATAAGGTGGCTGTGTGGCTCACCAAACTTGGGAGGCCAAGGCAGGAGGATTGTTTAAGGCCAGAAGTTCAAGACCAGCCTGAGCAACACAGCAAGACTCCGTCTCTACAAAAAAATCTAAAAACTAGCCAGGCATGGTGGCATGCACCTGTAGCCCCAGCTACTCAGAAGGCTGAGGCATAAGGATCACTTGAGCCCAGAAGTTGTTTTTTTTTTCTGAGACAGAATCTTGCTCTGTTGCCCGGGCTAGAGTGCTGTGGTGTCAGCCTAGCTTTGAGCCCAGAAGTTTGAAGTTGCTGTGAGCTATGATGACATCACTGTACTCTAGCCCAGGAGACAGAAGGAGACCCTGTATCCAGGCAAAAAAAAAAAAAAATCTAGAGGCCTCTTACATTCCACTTCCTGGTGAGGATGTGAAATGAACAACTACTTTGGAAAACAGTTTGATGATTTCTTTTTATTTTTTAAATAACAGCTTTATTGAGGTATAGTTCACACAAAATTCACCCTCTCCAAGTGTAGAATTCAGTAGTTTTTAGTATATTCAGAGTTATACAACCATCACCACTACCTAACTTGAGAACATTTTCTTTACTTCAAAAAAGAAATCAATCCCATACCCACTCCCCTTTCCCACTTCCCAGTAACCCCTGGTGATCACTAGTCTACTTTCTGTTTCTATGGATTTGACCATTCTAGATATTTCATATAAATGCAATCATTTAATCTGTGGTCTTTTGTGACTGGCTTCTTTCACTTAGCACAATGTTTTCAAGGTTCATCCATGTTGTAGCATGTATCTAAACTTTATTCCTTTTAATAGCCAAATATAATAATATTCCTTGTGTGGATACACCACACTATTTATCCATTCATCGGTTTACATTTGGTTGTTTCTACTTTTTGGCTATTGTGAATAATGCTGCTACGAACATTCATGTACAGGTTTTTTGTGGGGATATGTGTTTTCAATTCTGGGGATATATGCCTAGGAGTAGAATTGCTGGGTCATATAGCAACTTTTATGTTTGACATTTTGAGGAACAAACTATTTTCTAAAATGGCTGTATGATTTAACAATCCCAACAGCAATGTACGAGGACTCCAATTTCTCCACATCTTTACAAACAACTGTTATTATTTGTGTTTTTGATTTTAGCCATCTAAATGTAGGTATGAAATATATTATTGTGGTTTTGATTTGCACTGCCCTAATGACTTATGATGTTAAGCATCTTTTAGTGTGTTTATCAGTCATTTCCTTGTTTTCTCTGGAAAAATGTCTGCTTAAATCTTTCACTCTTTTTTGATTTATTTTATTTTATTTTTAGAGACCGGGTCTTGCCCAGGCTGGAGTGCAGTGGCTATTTACAGGCGTGATCATAGTGCACTACATCTCTGAACTCCTGGGCTTAAGAGATCCTCAGCCTCCTGAGTAGCTGGCACTATAGGCATGCCACCACACCCAGCTATCTTTACACATTTTTAATTGGGTTATTCATCTTTTTAATATTGAGATGTAAGATTTACTTCCTTGACAGTGTCCTTGCAGCACAAAAGTTTTTAATTTTGATGAAGTCTAATTTTCTTTTGTCACTTGTGTTTTTGGTGTCATATCTAAGAAACCATTGACTAATTCAAGGCCACAAAAATGTATGCCTATGTTTTCTTCTAAGAGTTTTATACTTTTACCTCTCGCCTTAGCTCTATGATCCATTTTGAATTAGTTTTTTGTTGGGTTTTTTTTTTTGAGACAGAGTCTTGCTCGGCTAGAGTGCAATGGCATCATCATAGCTCACTGAAATGTCAAGCTCCTAGGCTCAAGCCTCCTGAGTAGCTGGGGCTACAGGCGTGTGCTACCTCGCGTGGCTAATTTTTTCTATTTTTGGTAGAGATAGTGGTCTCACTTTTGCTCAGGCTGGTCTTGAACTCCTGACTTCAAGTGATCCTCCCATGTTGGCCTCCAAAAGTGCTAGGAGTACAGGCATGGGCCATTACGCCCATCCTGAATTAGTTTTTTTATATGGTTATTAGGTAGGAGTCTTAACTTCACTCTTTGGCGTATAGCTATCCAGTTGTCCCAGCACTATTTGTTGAAAAAACTATTCTTCCCCTGTTGATTTGTCCTGGCATCATTGTTGAAGGTTGTTAAGGGTTTTAATTCTGAACTTTCACAGTTTCTTAAAATATTAAATGTAGACTTACTATATGATCTGCAATTTCATGCCTAGGTATCTATCTAAGAGAAATGAAAACACATGTCTACACTAAGACTAATACATGAAGGTTCACAGCAGCATTACTCATAATAGCTAAAAACTGGAAACAACTCAACGTTTATCAACCAGTGAATGGATAAAGAAAATGTGATATACACATACAGTGGAATATTATTCAGCTATAAATGGAAATGAACTACTGATAAATACTACAAAATGGATAAACCTCAAAAGCATTATGCTAAGTGAGAAAAGCAAGATACAGAATATATATTGCATGATTCCATTTACGTGAAATTTCTTTTTTTTTTTTTTTTTTGAGACAGAGTCTCACTCTGTTGCCCTGGCTAGAGTACCGTGGCGTCAGCCTAGCTCACAGCAACCTCAAACTCCTGGGCTCAAGTGATCCTCCTGCCTCAGCCTCCCGAGTAGCTGGGACTACAGGCATGCGCCACCATGCCCGGCTAATTTTTTCTATATATTTTTAGCTGTCCGATAATTTCTTTCTATTTTTAGTAGAGACGGGGTCTCGCTCTTGCTCAGGCTGGTTTCGAACTCCTGAGCTCAAACAATCCACCCGCCTCGGCCTCCCAGAGAGCTAGGATTACAGGCGTGAGCCACCGCGCCCGGCCCATTTACGTGAAATTTCTAGCAAAGACAAAACTATGAAGACAGGAAACAGATAAGTGGTTGCCTGAGTCTGTAGATCACAATGGGGATTGATTTTGTAAACGGGGAAGGGAACTTTTAGGGTGGTAAAAAAATGTTCTAAAAATGGATTTCAGCAATGATTGAACAACTCTGTAAGTTTACTAAAAATCATTTACTTGTACACTTATAATAGGTAAATTCTTTGGTATGTAAATTTACACCTCAATAAAGCTGTTTTCTAAAAAAGTCTAGATTCCAAGTTACTTTCAGTATACACCTTGTTAGG